ATGGCTATGGAATGGAATTTAAAGCCGTCTGCTGCCTCCCGAGTCCTCTTTTGCACCAAGGAGGGCCTTGAGATTTCACCCTGTGGTAGCCAGTAGGACTAGGCCATCTCTAAGCCCTTCCGATGGCCTTCTTCCGCCATTGCACTAGGCCAGAGGTTCTAGCATGGGCAGGTGGTACTTGAGGGTAAAGAAATGCAGATTTAGTGAAGGACAAGCCTCTCCCCTCTGCCAGGCCAGCTGATGCTGTCCTTTCACTTCAGATGAACACGGGGCTCTTGAAGTTACTGAAACTTGGCCCTTGAGCAGAGCAGAGATCTGAGCGTGGCAGGGGGGCGCGCTGTGCCTGAGGTCAGAGTTGGGGGCCGCTGATGGGAGAGGAAGCCTGCCAAGGACACCCAGCAGTTTCTGCTCACCGTCCTCTCCATAAAAGGCCACAGGTTCTAAAGCTGACGGGCCCTGCAGACCTCCTGTATCCAGAAGACTCATTTGGTGCTGCGCATCACCAAGGAGACTCAAGGTCTCTTCAGAAGAACTAGTCCACCTCGGGCTCTTTCCCACCAACTTAAGGAGTCGCCCAGAGGGAGCAGCTGCCATTGGCAACCATCTCGTTGTAGCTCTGTCCTAGTGTTTGCTCTCGATGATGTTTACATGTGATTGCCATACAGCTTCCTGTAGACTGTGTCAGTAGCCGCCCACGCCGGGCAGGTTGTACTGTCCATCTCTGTGCCGTGCTGATGTTTTCCAAAAATATCCGATCCAACCGCTAAGTGGAATTCTTCCATCTCCTTCCTCAGTCGGTACAAGGCTGAATCAGAGTCCTCGCTCTCGGGGGCTCTGGTTACCGAAGGAAAATGCATCAAAGAGGTAAAGAATATGAGTGGATGGAGTGTAGCTAAGGCCCCCACCCCACGGCCCCTTCACACCTTGTTCCCCTAATCAGAAAACTGCTTGGGGTCAAAAAGCACCATTTGGGTGTCTGCATCTACTGTGAGATCTGGCAGCGTTGCCTGTGGGACAGACTCAGGAGAGAGGCAGGGCTCCGGGGGCGGGAGGAGGAAGGGAGGAAAGCTCTGAGCTCAACGATGAATTACCCACCTCCTGATGTGGGAAGAGATGATGCAATAAGAAGCTTCCATCGCCCACAGCCTATGCGTCTAGATCAGCGGTTCTCAACCTGTGGGTCGCGACCCCTTTGGGGGTCGAACGACCCTTTCACAGGGGTCACCTAAGACCATCGGAAAACACATATATAATTACATATTGATTTTGTGATTAATCACTATGCTTTAATTATGTTCAATTTATAACAATGAAATTGGGGGTCACCACAACATGAGGAACTGTATTAAAGGGTCGCGGCATTAGGAAGGTTGAGAACCACTGGCCTAGATGTTCCGACAGTGATTTCTTCTAGGCGTGTGCAATATTCGTGCCCAGGCCGCTGTGCAGGTGGGGAGTGGGGGGGCAGGGAGGACACTGGCAGCAAGATTCTTATGCCTGGACAGGTCAGAACCCCGCCCTGGGCTCAGGCTCAGTTGAAATCACAGCTGAGCCTGCAGCTCGAGAGATGGGTCCTTCCCACTGTGAAGCAGAAGCCACCCCCAGAGGATTTGTCGATCTGACTCACTTCACGTCAAAACCGCGGTGGTTTTCTTAGCACTTGTGATTTAGCGGTCACCTTCAGATATGATCGAGGAAGGAAATTGGATGTGCAGTCGCAAATAACGTGAACCTGATGGTTTCATAGGCCAAAGAAGAGGGTCCCCCTCATCCCTTCCCGCTGGGGCAAAAGGAGACCGCTTAGTACTTACGTGCAATATGTTCAAGCTGGTCCCAAGTCCCTGAGGCATTTGCACACACAGATGGGCTCCAGGGCTGTCTGCCAATGCCGGAGGCACAGGGTAAATGGAGGGAGAGCTTGGGAGCGGGGACACCCACTTGCACAGAGATGCCCTGGGCCCAAAACAAGGGGAGAGGAGAGCCCTTGGGAACCTGCTGCACGATGCCCAGGCTGTAGACAGAGGCTGACTTTGCATTGACCTAATAGAAGCACTTTGAGAAAACCACAGCCCTTCAGCCTGGCTCCATGTGTCTACACTGGCAAATATGGGTTGCCTCTGGCTGTGTGAGGTACTCGCCTAGGGCCCGGGGCAGGGCCTTGGGAAGGGGGCTGGTGTGAGGGAGGAGAGAGCAGAGGGAGATATCTCCGAGACATCAGCAGCAGGAGAGCCAATCCTAGGGCTAGCCCTTTGCCGGCCTCTTTGCTGGAGGCCCTAGAAACGGGGAATGGTGAGTTTAGATCTCAGTACCTTTCGTTCTTTAAATTAAAAACAGCCCAGCTGATTGAAATGGATTTGCAGACCAAGTCATTTAACTATAAGCCATCTCAGACTGGGAAAGTCGATGTTTCTTCCCAGCTCTGTGATCCTGGGCCTCTGTGATCCTTAGTCCAACATATGAGAATATTGGATGAGCGCTGAAGTTCATCCAATAGGCTCCAAGTCCCTTCTCTGGCTGTGCCCAGCTCATGTTCAGGGTCACGTTCTCTGCAAGGGAACTGACCGGCAGCAGTTTCAAACACACATGGTCCTGGCAGACCTGCCTCATCCCCGGAGGCCAGCTCCCCAGGACAGATCTAAGCCATAGTTTCTGGTGGGGAGGGTGGGGAGTCACACCCCAGCGTGGCTAGGTGGCGATGTTGAATCTCACATTAGCCTCGTCATCATCCCCACCAAGCAGCTCTTAACCTGAATGTTCTGACCACTTGGCTGTTTCTCTCTTGCTCTCAGACAATACTAGCAATACACTGTTGTGGGGTGTTTTTTTTTCAAAACAGCTTAACTGGGGCACTTTTCACACATTTTTTTCAAATGATTGTAAAACATACGGGGCAACAGGAGGCCTCGATCACACTGCGTATGTTTCAGGCAGCTTTTGTTTCTTGTTTCTTTACTGGTATAGCAGCGGTGACTGGAGCTCCGTGATCTGGAGGGACAGATTTTCAGATCTTCTGTCTCATCAGAACACTTCACACACCTGGAAGCAGCTCCCAGACCCAACTGCCCGAATCGGGAGCTTGGAAAAATAGTTTTGTAGGTGGTCAGTCCCCGGGCTGGGCAGCAGCACCTCAAAGAGGTGTTTATATAGCCAGAAGTCCCTCTGTGCTGTATTTTTCTTGTCAAAGGATCCTTCAAGGAAGCCTCATAAAACCTTTTCCACGTTGCTGGCCTTGCTCTGGGTGATGTTTGAAGGGATTGGTTCGCTTCCACTTCAGCACTTTGCCTTATCAACGTCTAGTCGCCATCTAGTGGCCAAAGACTGTATCCACCAGCTACCCAGATGGAAGGCAAATAAATCCTTTCTGCCACTTTGCTGTCCAACACCCAACTTGGGAATGACATGTAATGTCATGAGTGAACTGTCTGTAATATTTAGAGCCCAGTGAACACTGCTCAGGAGAATTAAGCAACCACATAGATGCACACAGACCGAGCAGCACACGAACTCTCCTGTGGGCAGAGGAGTGGGCCCTGTGTCCAGGTGCCCGGGAGGGGTGTACTGGAACTGCAATAGTGGCCGCCCAGCTGCTGACCTTAAGTGAGCCCGCACTGTCCCCTCGGGACAAGCAGGAGATTGGGTGTCAGGATTCTGTGTGGGGGCTGCCATGGCCTTTGATAGGGTCCACCGAATAGCCAAACAGTTTATATACTTGTGTTGTTAATTTTTGTTTCTATATTTTGTATTTAAAAATCTTGTCAAGTGTTTTTGTGTTAGGAATAAAAAGTCATAAACTATCCCCAGCTTTGTTTCTCGAGGGATGCTCCGATTCCGAGGGAAACGGGTTGGAAATCTCAAGGGGCGTGTGGTCGGGCTGGCCGGTGGGACAGGGAGGTGGACCACTTTGCTCTCCAGGTGGTTTCTGGGGGCAGTGACCATCCAGAAGTCCGGCTCGGTGCAATCTGCTCCGGAAATTCACAGCCACCCCCTTCACCTCCTTGTGCCACGGTCTTAGCTTTGGCTTTGAGCATCTGCTTCTTCCAGGGGCAGCTGCTAGTGTGGAAACCAACATCAGATCTCCCTTCCCAATCCCAGGTTTCTAAAGAGACAGTATTTGTAGCTAGCCTTAATCCACTGGGCAAGGTGGTCCCTATGTTCCAAGCATTTCCAAATCTTGGACTCAAATCCTTTTCTCTTGGTGTGATTATGCAGCCTGCCCTAGAGAATTCTGAGCAATAGGAAGCCAGGGCTTTCCCCGGCTCCGTGACAGGGTCAAACCAGGGAATGGCTAACCTTGTGAGGTGTGGGTATCCCCAGGGGTACTCCATAGGGGGCATTATTTATTAGGAAGCTCAACAAGGTAACTACAGCCTGGGGTGCGTGAGTGCAAGGCTGTGCGTGTGCGTGCGTGCGTGTGTGTGTCTGTGTGTGCGTGCACCCGCATGCCTGTCTGTGTGTATGTGTATGTGTGGAATTACATTGATGCATTTCTTGAGAAAGGTGCAAGAATTTCACCTACACAGAGGGACACATCGCTTTGTTATTTATAATAGAAAGCTAAATTTTAATTTTTTAAAGGACACTGCTAATGATTGGGAATCTCAAGTTTTTAGTTTTGCTATTTTTTTTTAATTGGTAGAGGATTTTTATATATTTTTTTCCATTTTGTTGGGTTGTGTCCTTATTTATATAAATACTTTATCCGTAAGAGGCAAGGAAGAAACCTTCTTTGCTTTTAATTCTCGTGGTCGTCACCGTCCGTACTTTATTTCTGGTGTGATTCATCCGTCTTACCTTCTAAATGAGAAAATGTTTTCCTGTCTTTGTACATTGTCAGATTCTATAGTTTCATAGATAATTTAACCAGATTGCTCTATGTATTACTATTCTGTGAGTATAAAGTTCTATTTTAACGTCTGTAAATACTTCAGAACTGGCTTCTTTTCTGACTCCCACCGTGGAGTTATTGTTTACATCACAGAAACTGTAGAATCTCTATGCTCATGTACTGTAAATAGTGAAGTGATCTGCTTATAAATAAACTTAACAAATACACTATGGAGATTAAAAAGGAAATACCACCCACCGCCCTGCCCAGGTGTGTCTTTCTTTGTTGGTCCTGCGTGTCATTGAGGGGCAGGGGAAAGGATTCTGGTCTTGGTGTCACCTTCTCAGCAAAGACCCTGGTCAAGGTGTGTCCCGCACCCCGTCCAGAATTTTCTGAGCTCACTTTTCATTCCTTCACAGCGCTTTTCATGGGTCATAATGAATCATTCAGACTTCCCTCGAGTAACAGATGTCCCATGACTGGCTTTGGCCGTGACTTTTAGAAAGCTCTACCACTTTCTGCACAAGGACTCCCTTGTTTGGGTGCAGCAACTTTTCACACAGGCACACTAAATGAAGGTGCTGGATGCCATATTTTGACATTGTGGTTTCAGGCAGAAACACTCACCAACTGATGACTCTAAAGCAACTTTTGGTCAGAGGCAGCGGAGAACAGATTTGAATTGTGCGCCGTAGTTTTAGGTGAGCTAGAAACGTTTCCCTTTGCTCACTTACCCCCAGCCCGAGTGCCGAAGTGGCATTTTCCAAGACTGAGCCTTGGCTGTGTGTGTATTTCCTCAGTCTCAAAGCACTCTGTGTCTAGCCTTTATTTTGCCCTAAAGCTGCGTTCATGTTTTGTTTTTTAACATCAGTATTTTTAAGTGCAATCTGAGTGCACGATACTCATGTGCCCCCAGAGAGTTGAAACGCTGGTGAAGAAAATCACATACAAATAACAGGTGCAGTAAGCCATTCCATCTTATGTGCAAACGATTCTCAAATTGATGGTTTTTTTGCCTACAGAAATAGTCTGTCATTGTTCGGATGATTTATTTTTTTCCAATCTGGAATTTGTCTGGATTTCTTTGGTGGGAAGAGAACACGTAATTTTTCCCTTTAAAAATGAGCAGGGTGGCTACACTTAGCGGCAGGCTCTCTGGCAGGAATGAGAGTCCTTAGAGAGGTTATGTGATTGATGACTCAGTATCTGTCACCCCATTACTAGATGCCCACCTCCAGGAGAACGGGGTGCTCCTCCATTCATGGCAGGGTGCCCAGCCCCACTAGTCAGGAACTCATGAATGGGCGCGTGAGAGGCGTCTGTCCATGGCCTGATGACTGTACAGAGCCAGGGAGGCAACCAAGCCACAAAGCCCAAGGTGCAGTCGGTGGCGCAAGAAATAGAATGGGAGCCTGTGTTTGAGACCCGGCTCTGCCACCTCGGTGTTGTGCAAACTTAGACAAGGTACCTCTTAGGACCCTGGCATCCCCAAATATGAAATAAGATGATCTGCTTAGATGGACTCCAAGGTCCTAAATCAGGCTGATTCTCAGAAGCAGTACAAAATGATTGCAGGCAAAATGATGATAAGCCAGGACCTAGTGTCAGGCTGCTTGGCTTTGAGTCCTGACTTCACCACTTATCCGCTGGGTGTCCTTGGGCAGGTTTCTTAACCTCTCTGAGTCTCTTCCTCGTCATGTGATAAATGGGGCTAGTAATCATTTCCACCCTATCGGGTTGTTTGTGAGGATGAATTTAGACCATGCACAGTACCTAGGACATTAGAGGCACTTTGTCAACATGAGGTGCAACCCTCATCGTGCGTGTTCTCATTGGTACGAACCGTAGGCGCGTGGCAAGGATCATGACCCAGGAGGGAAGGCTGAGGACGACAGAGAGTGGAGGGAACCTGCCCACGGGGCAGAGCCTGCACCGGCAGCATCGCCTGTGTATTCCTGGGTGCCACTTCTGTACTCTGCCACTTAACCACTACATGTGACGTGCTCAGGGACATGCCTTTGCTTAAAAGACCACTCCTCTGAAAGTGTCCCTTTCAGGCCAGAAAATCCAGCATGGGAGGTAAGAGATGAGGGTTCCAGGCCCAGCTCCCTGTTGACATGACTGAAACCGTGGGCAGGGCTCATGCGTCAGGAACTCCGGTTGACCTGCTGTGGGAGTCCAGGGACCCGAGCACCGTACACTGTGTTCTCTGAGCGTGGGCTTCGGCTCCTGGAGGGAAGCCAGGGAACTGTGCCGTGAACTTCGCACAGCCCATCCCCTGGCTGGCCCTCGAGCTCCTCATTTACCTAAAAAAGGGAGGTGAGAGCAGATCCGTGGTTTACAGACAGTTCGGAGGAACCATGTACTCCTCCTCCAAGCAACTGGAGCCAACACCCACTTGTAGGAGAACCAGGGGCAGAGGAAACCAACGGATACATCCAGAATATGGGCCAACTGACACTCTGCAACAAGAAAAAAGATTTAAAACCACTTAAAAGACGGCTAAAAGTTTAGAACTTGTCTGGGTCAGATTCGAGCAAACCAACTCTTAAAGACATAGCTGAGACAATGGGGGAGAACTGCTGTCCCGAGCTGGGTTCCCCAGAAGGCAGCCTCTGCAGTGGACCTCGTCCTGGAGCTGGGGTGGCCCTGCAGAGCTGTCCCATGTTGGGCCAACAGGGCCAGACCTTAACTCCTGGCATGGATCAGCCGTGAGCTGCAGGCCACCCAGGGGAAGGGTGTGCCCTTGGGCGAAGTGTCTCCGTGCAGCTGAGGTCATCCCCAAAGGGGCGGCACAGGGGTGTCTGCTGGCAGCACTCAGCTGCTGGAACCACAAGTCCTTCTCTCTACAGTAGAGGGTTCGGACAGCTCGTCACAGCATAACCGCCCTGGGTGCTAGGTGTCCGTTTGTTGTTTGTGATAATGATGTGGTTACATCAGAAAACGCCCAAATGTCTGGAATGGTCTGTCTGGAATTTTCTTTTAAATACTTCAGCCAAGAAAAAGGTGAAGAATATAAAAGGACAGATGAAACAAAGGTGGCAGAAGCTCCCTATAGGAATAGGGTGAGAGGTGGGGGTGCATTGTATAATTCTCTACTTTTGAGAATGATTGAAAATGTTTAGAATAAAGTAGAAATGAAAGTGTAAGGACAAAAACATGACTCTGTGGGCAGTTGAACCTGGCATTCCTTACATATTTCATTGATGTCTATGACAGTTAGAATGTCGGTTTTAGCTCAATCAAAAGCTCTCAAGGCTGAGAACTTGAAAGCCCCTCACTAAGATGTAAGCTAAAGTCTCATTCAGCTTGCAACTCTTATGACTTTGACTTCTCAGGAGGTGTCCTGTTCGCCCGTGGCTTGGGTGATCTCTTCCCACGCAGGGCAGTGCCATTCTGGTCAGCGGGTCCCCCGTGGGCTACTGGATACAGCAGGACTTGGATGCAGGTGCGCCCCCTCCAGGGCCGGGGTTCCCCCCAGGCTGATTTCCCGTGGCTGCTGCAGTCAGACAGAAAGACAGCACACCAGGTGAGAGGCAGCTGCAGAGGGCTTCCCCTCTGCCCTGGTATCGACCAAGAGTTGTAAATTCAAGGGCTTTCAGAGGCCAACAGCTAACCACACATGCAGAAGGCAAGCCAAGTGTAAGGGGAAGCAGAAAGCAAGAATGTTTCTCTACACGAAGAAAAATAACAGCAATCATGATGGTAAGTGGCGGCCCACACTTGGCACTAATGTCTGAGAGACAACAGGGAGTGGCGGGGACTGTGGCAAACTGGAGAGGTTCCTCTGTCCAATCTAAAGGGGTGGGGAGGGGCCCTGGCCAGTTTGGCTCAGTGGACAGAGCGTTGGCCTGTGGACTAAAGGGTTGCAGGTTCAATTCCAGTCAAGAGCACATGCCTGGGTTGCAGGCTCGATCCCCAGTAGGGGGCGTGCAGGAGACAGCTGATCAATGATTCTCGCTCATCATTGATGTTTCTATCTCTCTTTCCCTCTCCCTTCCTCTCTGAAATCAATGAAAATACATTTTTTTTAAAAAAAATAAAATAAAGGGGTGGGAGGGGGTGCCACTCAGCTCCAGCGAATTGTTCCCATGCAGAAATGCAGATGGGTGTGGCCAGATGTTGATCTTTTCAAAAGACATGCTAGAAATCTAAACTTTTAAAATTGGAATTCTCTCCATTTGTAAAACACAGGCAGCAAATTCACATTTGAAACAAATGCAAGCCAAACAAAAGACATCTTGCAGGCTGTAAGTTAGCACAGCCCGGCCACTAGCCCATAAGACAATTTGTGCAAATTAGAAAAAGACACTTCTTCCCCTGGACACTTGACTGCCATTTTCTGGAAAATTGTAAGTATGATACAAATCGGTGGTGGCTGTCATACAAATCCTGGAGCTGCGAAAGCACGACTTACAAAACCCTGAGTGGTGGCCCCACAATTGTAGCCACCAGTTCAGAATCACCCCCACCCTGCAGAGCGGAGCTGGAGACCCGTCCAGGCTAAGAACGATGGGCACAGGACGTGTGCAGAGGAGGACAGTTAGTGTGGGGCAGGGACGAGAAGCCGTATCTTAGGAGGGAACTAGCGCCACACAACCAGTAAAGGAAATGACTTGGGGGCGCGAGACGGGGAAGAGATGGAAAAAATGAATCCCATTCGATTCCTGAAGGCAGGGCTATGGCCATTAAGTGGAAGCTTCAACCAGGAGAACAGTTTCAGTTCAAGGAAGAGCTTTCTAATAGTGACTGAATGAGGCTTTCCTGTAAGGTAGTGAGCCCTCTGTCACTAGTAGTGTGCAAGCAAAGGGTCATGACGGCATAGATAGGATTCAAACATCACACAGACGGCTGGAAATGTGGCCTCAAATTCCTTCTAACCAGTAAGTTTAGGCTTTCTTCTTTGCCCCTGGGTAGGGCTCTCTGTCCAGTGCTGGTTGTGCGCAGTCAGGGAATCCTTGCGGGGAGCCTCAATCCTGGGAACCAGGCTCTGCCACTTACTAACGGTGTGACGTGGCCACAGTACGTCTGCCAGCCTCGGTGCCCTCCTTCGTAGGATGGGGACAATAATAGGTGATGGCAGGGTCTGAATGGGACCCCGTGTGTGTGGCTCTGCGGCCAGGCCAGGCACACCGTGAGCACTCGGTATGGGGGTCAGGGCTCCCCCTCCCCCCCACTGAGAACCTTGCTTGGCTGCCTGCTGCTTCTGCTTCTCCTCTTCCAGAGCCTTCATCTTGGCCTCATACTCATCAGCAAGTGCTTTCCACTCCTTGCGGTTGTTGGTGATCCCATCCAGCATGGGAGTGATCTCCTCATGGAAGCGGGAGAATTCCTGGGAGAGAGAGAAGCGGTCATCTCCCTCCCTCCTCAGAAACTCCTGGGAGGCGGGGAAACAAGATTCATCCCCCCCACCCCCACCACCAGAGTGTTAGGTGAGGAAACTGATATGCAAATCCGGGGAGGGCTGCGCTCGGAGCTGCCTGGTTCAGATCCAGGCTCTGCCACGAGCTGTGTGACCTTGGGCAGGTTGCCTACAGAGATAATACCTACCTCACGGGGCTGGTAACACACATCAAGCCCTGAGCCCAGGCTCCTTGTTTGACAACATACTGAGGATAACAGAGCATTGGCTGCTCTGCCCTGGTGCTCAGAGCATGCCCCTCCACCCCCCTGGCCCCTGAGCCTGTGTTATGTCAGAGAGGCACCTGTTCACCTCTGGGAGCACCTGAACTTCTTCCAAACCAAAGGAGTGCAGCTCACACAACAGAAAGAGCCCTGGACCGAGGGGGAGGCGGCCTGGCTCTCATCCCATCTCATGGCTGACCCCAGTGACCTCGGGCCTGTCATTTCTCATCTCTGGCCTCTGTTTCCTCACGTGGAACATGGCCTGAGTAAAAGTAACAAGTGGGAGGTGAGCGGTGGCACAGATCATATAAAAGTGGGTTTCTCAGAGGGAGACGGCAGCTTTGAGCAAGAGCTCAGAGAGGAATTCCAGGTCATCTGCCGACACTGGGTTACGCTGACCCGTCACATGCCCACCAGCTGGGGAAGTGAGGAGGGTGTGAGTCTGCGATGCTTCCCTTCCCTGCCTGAAACCTTGCTTAGTCGTTTGTCCCACAAGACCCCCGAGGGCTGTCTGAGGACCAGATGCCACTACAGAGGAGAAGGGCTTTGTAAAATACCACCCGCTGGCCACTTGCCAGGGCTGAGTGTTCCTGCTGGCATTTGGGAACCCCAGCTTTATCAACGACAAAGCCATGGGCCCGAGAAAACACAGGACCCACCTTGTAGACGAAGGTGCAGACAAAGTCAATGAAGCCGACCTGCAGCTTGGGGAGTTCGTCCGCCTTGTTTCTGTCCATCATGGGCTGGCGTGGGGGAGAAAGAGTTAACTGCGCTGGCCCCTCCTGCCGGTGAGGCATTCTTGCCAAACCAAGACCAAGCCTCCAACTCATCAAGTTTCCAGATCGAACTAGAACTAGCAGGTTGCAGGAAATACAGGGCTAGCGAGACATGTTAAATAACACCATGAGGTGGGACACTGCACAACAGAAGACCCACCCTCTTCAACAAATAAATGACATATGGAAGGTTAAAAAAAAAAAGAAAGAAAGAGGACGAGGAAACAACTGTTGATGAAAAGAGACAATAAACACGGCAACAACAGGAGGGCGTTGGTTCCTTGATTGGGTCCTGATCTGAGCAAATCAAACGAAATGATTTTCATTACTCAGCAGGGAAAGTGAAGGAGCTGGGGACTATCGGATATTCACAATTATTACTAATCATCATCATGAGGTGATAATGGTACGGTGGTTGTGTGTGTTTGTTTAAAGTTCTTATCTCTTGGCCCTAACCGGTTTGGCTCAGGTGATAGAGCATCGGCCTGCGGACTGAAGGGTCCCAGGTTTGATTCCAGTCAAGGGCATGTACCTTGGTTGCGAGCACATCCCCAGTGGGGGGTGTGCAGGAGGCAGCTGATCGATGTTTCTAACTCTCTATCCCTCTCCCTTCCTCTCTGTAAAAAAAAAAAAAAAAATCAATAAAATATATTTAAAAAAAATAAAGTTCTTATTTCTTAGAGATACAAACTATAACATGTTCATAGAAGAAATGACCTCTGAGACTTACTTCCTTTAAAATACATCAGCCAAAAGATGAAAAATGCACAGGGAAGGTCAGAGATAAAACAACGGCTGTCTGTGGCTAATGGTTGCATCTGGCTACAGAGAGTTCATTAGCCGTGCCCTGTCCATTATAAGGTGTTAAAGGAAGAAGAGAGTCACAAATCCCACCAGCCCTTGCTGGTCATGCTCATTGCCGGCTCCTCACAGCCCTGCCACTGTCCCTCCGGCCTCACGGGGTACCCCAGCACTTTCAGCACCTCACAGGTGAGCCCATCCCCACATCTGTGATTCTGTCCCCAAAAGGTCTCTCTCTTTTACCCCACCTTTACCTCCTAGCCCTGCCCCAGAGCAGGGCCCTCGGTGAACCCTCTAACTGGCCTCCAGCGGGGAGCTGGCTGACTGTCCAGTCAGGTTGAACTATCAACATCGGTGGGTCCTCAGCTTGACAAACAAGACCTTTCCTCCCCGGCACTCTCTGCTGTTAGAACAGGGCCCGGGAGGTGGCCGCCCAGACTGTTGGAACTAAAAGGGAAATCCAAGCTTTGGTGTCCACTTGTCAGTCTCTGCTTAGCTGCGTGGGCTAAGGCCATCCCATCAGAGCAGGGTCCCAAACTCTGGGAGGGCACCCTTGCTGGGCTCACCCCCACAGTCTCTGCTGAGGGAGGTCTGGGGTGGGGCCTGTGAATTTGCATCTCTAACATGTTCCCCAGTGAGGAGGCTGACGGTGGCCCGCACGTGGAGCAGCCCTACACTAGGGAAAGGCCATCTCTATGTCAGGGGGTGGGGAGAGGACACAGTTCTCTGCCAGGGCAAGGTCACAGGTGTCCATCAGGAAGAGGTCACACACCCTCGTCAGGCTGACGTCCCCTCGCTACTCACAATGGGGTTCTGCTGCAGCACCGTGCGCTCCAGGTCACCTTGTTCCCAGAATTCAGCAGCAACCAGCAGAGCTACCTGCAACAGACAGACCCCCCCAACCCTGAGTCAGCCCCAGCCCCAGTCCTCCTGCCCATGCCCCGCGATTCTATTCTACTCCACTTGGATTTCCAGCTCGAAAAAGCATAAACCCCACTCCGGCCCCGCCACCCCCACGTCACGGTCATCATGGGAGGGTCCTAAAGTGAGCTCCTTGTCTTGCCGGAGGAGGATGGGGCAAAGTGGGCTGCCTCTGGAGCTGGGGATCCCAAGCCGCCTTAGCTGCTGCCACCAGTACTGGAACCCCTTCCTCTCGCCTCCGGAGGAGGCCATACCTTGCTCTGCACCTCCCAGGGCTTGGTGATGGCTGAGAGATCACAGGCGGTCATCATCATGGCCCTGGGCACAGGACACCACCCATCAGTCCAGAGCCATTGAAGGCTGCACGTACTGTTAATTCCATCTACCCCTTCTTTCTGTCCCCCAACTAGTACGTGACCTCACCCCATTGTGAGGAGGGGGGTCACTTCCCCAATACATCTGAGGGGGGGCTTTGAAGTCAGACGGTGGTTTAAATCCTGCCTCTGTCAATTACCAGGAGTTTGACATTGAGCAATTGAACCAACCTCTCCGAGCCTCAGTGTGCTTGACTGTAATAATAATGGTAATTTCTTCATGGAGTGGGTGCAAGATTGAATGAGATCATGTGTATAAAAATCTTAGCATGCGCCTGGGCATAGTATGTGCACAATAAATATTGGTAATTATCATGAACATATTTTGGGTTTTTATGATATACCACACACTGTTCTAGCCATTTCGTAGAGATCAATTTCATTTCAATCTCATCACATCTTCAGAGTTCCTTCTCGCCTGTCTAGTATAGAACAATGTGTGTCAACCTTTTCCATCCTCCCCCGCTCCTGTCAAAAATCCTTTTTAGACAAAGTTTTTCTATAATTGCTCCACCATAAAAATTTAATTACCACAGACATACTGTATATCTGTTTAGAGGGCCACAGGCCATTGAAACGTCTAAGATTTTTTGCTCATCTCCCAAGAACCACTTGTGCCTCAGTGGGCAATGCTTGTGTGGCTCAGTCATTGAAAGGAAGCTTTGCATTAAGAAGTAGAAGAAGGAATTGTCAAAACTTATAAGCGGTACACTTAGGATCTGCACATTTCATTGTAGGTAACGTTTGCCTTAAAAGAAAAAAAAAGAGCTGTAAACAAATATTGACCTCTAGTTAATGAGATACGTGCTGATGTATTTGCAGGAAAGTGCGCTGATGCCTGCAACTTACTCTGAAACGCATCCAACAAATAAGCTGGATTGACAGATAAAGGGATGAATTGACAATAATGTGTTAATGGCAGAATCTGGAGGGTGGGCATAACATTCTTTCAACTCTCTGTGTGTCTGAAAATTTTTCCTAGTAAAATGTTGATGCAAATAAAAAGTGAACTCATGAAATTTAAAAAAAAAAAGGAGTTGAGGAAAGGACTGGGGAAAGAAAGAAAGGATTGAAAGATGAACTCTTAAAGGAGTTTCCTAATAATAGGAAGGTGAGATAAGTATTATTACACAGGCAGGTACAACATAAGATGGAAAGGGAGGGGAATGGACAAAGAATTGGAGCAAGAGAGAGGGGAATTCAAGAAGGTGTTTCAGAGACGGGGGTAGTGGCATGAACGTCTGGGGTGGGAATCCAGGGCCACGTGGTATGGGTGTGAATCCTTGCTGGGGAGTGTAGACTGTATCCAACAGGCATGGAGAGCTATTGGAAATTTAGAGCCCAGTCATGACCTCTTCAGAGCTGGGCTGTAGCGAAGCAGGTTGGCAACACTTGTAGGATGGAGAGGGTAGGAAGGAAGGAGGGGAGATGCTGCAGTAATTCTCAGAATCCTCTACTATTGAATCCCTGTAAATTATTCTTTTTAAAAAATATATTTTTATTGTTGGGGTCCAACCCCAGCAGGTCCAGGGATCCCCAAAGGTGTGGACGGAGTCGGCGAAGAAGGGATGACACGGAGACAGCGTTCAGTTGATCAGCAGCCTAGCCAGGATCTCTAGCCAAGTTCTGGTCAGGATCTCCAGCCAGGTTCTGTGTCCATGTTCTCTTGCTAGGTTCTCCAGCCAGGTTCAGTCACCAGGTTCTAGTCAGGTTCTTGCCATGTTCTATCCAGGTTCTGTCTCTAGGTTCTCAGCCAGGGTTGTAAATTATTCTTTATTTCAGTTAGTGTATGCTTAATTTCTGACTGGTCCTTTTTCATGTCTTTGACATTCTCACTAAGATCCTTGAAAGTCTCATGAAGATCCTTGACTAACTTTATAACCATGGTTTTGAACTCTGTATCCAGTAGTTAACTTGTTTCCATTTCTTTCCTTTTGTGACCTGTTTCTTTGTCTCCACATTTTGGCTGCTTCCCTGTGTTTGTTTCTATGTATTAGGTCAGTGATGGCGAACCTATGACACGTGAACTCATTTTTTTGGTTGATTTTTCTTTTTTAAATGGCATTCAAATATATAAAATAAATATCAAAAATATAAGTCTTTGTTTTACTATGGCTGCAAATATCAAAAAAAATTCTATATGTGACATGACACTAGAGTTAAGTTAGGGTTCTTCAAAATGCTGACACGCCGAGCTCAAAAGGTTCGCCATCACTGTATTAGGTAGAGCTGCTATGCCTCCTGGAATTGGTAGAGTGGCCTTCTGTGGTAGGTGTCCTGTGGGGCCCAGTGGCTCGGGGTGGAGGTGCCCAGGCAGGGCCCAGCTGTGAAGCCGGGCAGGCTGGTACTAGTGCCGGGTCTGGGGCCTTTTACTGATAGGTGTGGAGCATGCTGCCACCAGCTGCAGCTTGCTTGAGAGATTTTAGTAAAGTCTGAAGCCTGTGCCAGGACAAGCCATTCATATGGGAAAGCTGCTTCAAACAGCTTGGGTGGGGCTACAAATTGGATGGGGCGGGGTCTCAGGGAATCCCCAGGGCGGAGCAAACAGTGTGGGCCATGTTGATGGAAAGTCATCAGCCCTATGACAGGGGAGGTCCCAGCACAGGCACAGTGACCCCTTGGAGCACCCTCATCTGGGAGAAAGTGCCCCGGAATTCCTGTCCCGATGCCAGACCATCCAGTTCCTCCCCTTATGTGTCTGGGTCCTGCGGTGCTGGAACTTGGAAGAAGCCAGAAGTGTAAGTTTGTGCGCGGGCCTTTAAGAGGAACACCTGGGATTCCAGCAGCCTCCGCATCACTGAGCCCCAAACCCGCTAGTTTTTACAGCCCTAATTGCAGGGACTTCTCTTCCCAGCTCTGGAACCCTGGGCTGGGGGTCTGGTGTGGGGCTGGGACCCCCTGTTTTTTACGGGCGGCCTCCACAGGAACAATCTCCCTCCCGATTATAAAAAAAGCACACGTCGGTTCCGCGCCACCGGCCCTGGTACCCCTCTCAATGTGCTTTTTTCTTTACTTCTCTAGTTATAGGACTTCCATTCAGCCAGGGTTCAGGCGGTTCTAAATGATGGTTGTTTTGTATTTTAATTGTAATTCGGATGTGGTTGTGGGAGGCGGCGAGCACAGGCGGTTACCTATGCTGCCATCTTGGTTCTTTTCTAAATATCTTTAATTAAGCAAACCCTCAAGCAAATAAGCTTTCAGAAATGCATACATTTCTTAGAAACACCTTTATGTTTTGTAATAACTTCAGAAGACGTGCCTTTTGCTTAATGCTAAGTGTAGTAGATACCTTATGCTTACCGTCAAACAGATTAAACAAATGAACGGTCAGCTTGGCATACAAGAGTCACTGGCTTCCTGTTACCTGTCAGGGCCCTCATTTTAAGTCCACAGGTGTGGCTTCACTGAGTGTTTACTGTGCTCGGCTGGAGAGATCACGTGAAAATCACTCCCAGCTGTTGGGGAAACACACCTCAGTGTTTCATAGACAGAGATCTGGTGTGTGGGGGGATGGGGAGAGGACACTGGGGTACCAGAAAGGCCAATCCAAAGCCTCATGCCCTAAAAACAAGGCATTACAAGGACAAGAGATGAAGGTGATTATAAAAAGAAGTGTCCAGATAGGCAAGGCATTTGAGAAGTAAACTCAACAGGGCTTGGGGAGTAGATTAGACATGCAAAGTGAGGAAGAGGGAGGTGTCTGGGTGGAGAGTTAGGGACAGCATGGTTATCATGTAGAAGAGAGTAGGAGTATGTCATGAAGACTTTGCATGCTGAGAAATTTGTACCATTTCCTCTTGGCAAGTCTTCAAGAGCAGGGGATGGAGCTGAATAGGAGAACAGTATAAAATGCCATGCAGAACTTTGGAATCAGACACAATTAGATCCTCGGTCTTCTTACTTGCTGCACCCAGAGCAAGTGACTTAATGTGTTTGAGTCTCCATTTGCTCATTTGTAAAATGAGATAATCCCTAGCCGGTTTGGCTCAGTGGATAGAGCATCCACCTGTGGACTGAAGGGTCCCAGGTTTGATTCGGTCGAAAGAGTACATGCCTAGGTTACAGGCTTGATCCCCAGTCAGGGGCGTGCAGGAGGCAGCCAACCAATGATTCTCTCTCATCATTGATGTTTCTATCTCTCTCTCCCTCTCCCTTCCTCTTTGAAATCAATAAAAATATATTAAAAATAAAGAAAGAAAATGAGATAATCATATTAGATTGGATCATATGAAATTCAGATTTTGTGGATCAAAAACAGTAAAAAATCAGCAATTTCATATGTTCAATGTAATTAATCCGTCCTGAGATGATTTTGCTAGTGCACGCATTGTCCTCCTCTTCATTATCATTACCTTCCTCACATTAAGCGTTTGTTCAGGGTTGCCAGGTGAGTCCAGCTGCCTGGCTGAAACAAGCTGAGCTCCTACCCACCTGGCCCATCCCCAGAGCAAATGTCTCTTCCATGCAGCTGTGCAGCTCAGTAGCCCTTCTCCCTGGCCCCTGAAAACATCCCAGCCAACCTGAACGGGCACCCAGGCACGCCCTGGCCTTACACCTGGCCTGGCGGGTGTGGCCTGCAGGGGGAAGGTCTGAGGGAGCCTGAGAAAACTGTGGGTGTGCAGGAGACAGGTGGGGTGACTTGGGTTCCACCCTTTGGTTCTCCACTAATGCCCATGCGACAGTCGGCGAGTCACTTTGTCCCTCAGGGCCTGACATTCCTCATTTGAAAAACGTCCGACCAGGAGCTGACAACTTTTTCTGAAAAGGGCCAGATAGTCAATATTTTAGGTGTTGTCGACCACAGTGATCTTTATAGCAACTACTCAACCTCATCATGATATGATGTGAAGGCAGCCATAAGGTCAGGGCCACTCATCTGTTAGGCTCAGGGCCCAGGATACTTTTAGGGGCCCGTGATGATGTTTAATTTTAATTTCTTTTAAA